ACCAAACAGATTTGCCGAAATCTATATCATCAATATCAGATTTGGTGGCAAGTAAGCATCCACTTTTCAATTTAATTTCAGAAGCAACAAGATGATGGTTTGTTTTTAGGCTTCATTTCTTGCTCAAATTCTTTTGCCACAATCTGATTTTCACTCTTATTGTGCTCCTGTTTTGCTTTACTAGCTCTATTAATATATCTTTCAAAATGTGTTCAGGAGTCATAGGAAGCAAAGCAATATGTTTATCCTTATGAACAAGAGTATACTGATTGTTTCTACCATCGAGTACATAATTTTTACCGATTTGGTATCGTCTACCAAGTAATAAGGAACATGCTTGCATGGGTACCACATCACAATCAACATAATCAGCATATGTAGCGATACTAAAATGCACACGAACAGTACGGGTTACCTTAACCTTGCCGTTGTTGTTGAACCTTTAATGTAGTAAGGATGCAGATGTGCTTTTGTGGTCAGAGAAAGCTTCTCCGCCATCTCCATGCTAGCCAAGTTGTTGCAGCTCCCTCCATCTATGATGACATGAATAGAACGTTCCTTCACAACTCCCTTTGTATGAAACAAATTGTTCCTTAGATTTTGCTCAGCTTGGGTGACTTGCACACTCAAAAAACATTGAGCAACTAAACTTTCAAACCTGTCAGCGTCTTTAGCAGCCATGTAGTGTGTCTCTTGTTCAAAATCATGTCCACCCTGCTCTTCACTAGCAATAAGAGCCGAAGTCTCCTCATCATAGTCACTAGCGGACTCATACCAACCATCCTCAGTAACAATCATCGCACGCGGAGATGGACATTTGCTCGCATAGTGATCTCCACCCTTGCAATGATGGCATATAACCTCATGTGTTTGCCCTGTTGATGCGATGGTTTAAGAAGAGCTGTGTGCGGGACCAGAAAGTGTGCTCTTGGGGGATGGTGGTCGTGGTGCCTCTGTTCTTGTATCTCGGCTGGACTTGGCGGGTAAAGTAGGCGATGTAGCACCAGGACATGTGGAAGTAGAAGATATATGTGGTGTCCATGACGAAGATCGTTCTGCAGAAAAATTAGTACGTGCCAATGTCTGTCGATCCTGCACTTCATGTTCAGTTTTCCAAGCAAGATGGAATAAACAAGTGATATTATTATACTCCTTATACTCTAAAATGGTCTGAATCTCTCTATTTAATCCAACCATAAAACCTGCAAGCATAGCTTCATTATCCTCAACAATACCACATCTAATCATGCCAGTTTGCAATTCCTGATAATATTCCTCTATAGAATTTTTTTTCCTTGTCTTAAACGCTGTAATTTTTGGAGTAATTCACGTTGATAATATGGTGGAACCCAACGAGTACGCATAGCAATTTTCAAAGCAGCCCAAGTAGCAGGGATATTATCATGATATAATCTAGAATGTTTAGACCATCACACACAAGCAAAACTAGTGAATGCACAAACAATAGCAGCAACACGTCTCTCCTCGGAATATTGTAAGTATGTAAAACGTTGTTTAGTTTCTAACTCCAAAGAAAGATATATATCGTGAAGATATCTAGCCTCAAGTGTAGGAATATTCAATTTTACTTTAGGAAGATGGTCATGATCTCGTACCTTGTATCATTTGCATGTGGACGACCTGGTAGTAGTGCTGGTGGTTGCACGTAGTTCTGATTATGATCAACTTCATCCCCGTAATCGCCCTTGTATTCATCCTCCTCGGTAGCTGCAGGAGCCATAGAAGCATCAACTGTAGGTGCAACAGCACCAGAAGTTTGGCCAGGCTCAAGGGGAACATGCATTACTCATCTCACTTGATTTGCAAGGCGACATTGTTGTTGTTGTTGTTGTTGTTGTTGTTGTTGTTGCAGAGGTGTGACAAGTGCAGTTGGTGGTAGTTCTGGAAGACACGCGAGTAGTTCATTAAACTTGTTATCGAACTTTGTTTCTAACATCTTCTCAGTGCCATCTATCTTGTCCATGGCCTCTTCAAAAATGGTTAGCAAATCTTGCACCTCTCCACTCATAATTTGCTGAAATTTATCATGTAGCTCCTTGTTTGTCATGTTCTCCTAGCCAGTCTCGTGGGCTTGTGATCCTTCCATGGTTAGCAGCAATAGAAACACACAAGAATAGGTCCTATAAACTACTAAGAGGATGTGGAGTTGTGGAAAGCCACAAATCTATCAAGTGAATCACAAATTATTACTCGTTCTTACCAAGTAGCAGGTGGTGATCGGCAACTGTTGTGGTCAAAAACTCCTCAAAGCTTGGACGGAGCTATTGCCAGGTGGTGTGAACGCACGACGTAGATGTATGTGGAGCTGGGAAGGCTTATAATATGGTAGCAAAAAGAGTCAACAATAATCAATTCAGAGATGCAAAATTGAATAAACGCTCAACGACGGTACTGTGCTGGTCCTAGGCTAGTCATGCTAGAGACACGAGCCTAGAACACAAACAAAATCATGGCACTCCACGGAAACAAGGGAAAAGCACTCTGAAAATTTCTCTTTTTTCGCTCTTTTTTGCCCTTTTTTTGCTCTCTTTTCTTTTTAGAAAATCACTATAATGGTGAGTGTTTAAAAAATCTTCCCAAGTCAAAATAACAGGATAGGCACGAAATGTTTTTGACTTTTTTTGGAAATCAGGGCAGCGACGGCCAAAAAGTGCGACAAAAAACACTATAATGGTGAGCGTCTCAAAACGCTCCCCAGGGCCTAAATACAGGATATGCAAAAAATTGAACCGCTGAAAATTTGGCCAAAAAACTATCCGGGGGTCTAATGATTTTTATTGGAATCACCCCTCTTCTACGGACAGAGAAAGATTGATGAAACCCTAAACCTACTCAGACAAGGCAACACGAATCTAGAAATAGATGGATCTCGAAACCAAACCTAATATGGAAAGAACTCGGATTGGTGGCGAACGTGCGGTGGCCTATGTGGACTCAGATTGGTGGACAGGCGGTTGTATATGTGGACTCGGATTGGTGGTGCTATATGGTGGTGGTATATGTCGACTCGGATTGGTGGTTGTATATGGCAACGACGATGTATATGGTGGGGGTGGTGGTATATGGAAGCAGCGTTGTATATGGTGGGGTGGTGGTATATGGCAGCGATGAAGGTGGTGCGGAGGCGGTTTGACAACTTGTGAGCAGAACTCAAAGTTCTAAAGGACTAAATGCTAAGACCAGTAACTTGACATGATGATGCAACCGCAAATTCAACAAAGCAAAACACTGAAGAGATTATGCAATGGCTAGTCTAGTCCGGATATGATGAACTAACCCTAATTTTTTTGGTTTTTGTGGACTCTGGGTATGAAGGATAGATGCAATCTAGACTATGAAAAACTAGTAAAATCTCACCAAGCAACCTAGAAATCTGACACCACTTGATAGAGGCGAAGGTGTCTCGATGTTTCAATGAGATAGATATCATTTTCTTTGGGAGTCGACTTTGACGATCGGACTAAGAATGTACGAGACGCCACGCCTTAGGAATTGCTAAACCAACTTCTCAGGGTTATTGAGCACGCTGGAGCACGATCAACCTGACCATGAGGGTCTAATTCTTGCGAGCAAACGAAGAACAAGCAAGAAACTGAGATTGCAATATTGATATTGCAAATATAAGAGGAAAGATTTATTGTTGAAAGTGGGGTTATGTGATGTCTTTGTGTGGTCGTTGAACACAGAAGTACGCGAGTTGCAGCAACGGCGAGGTTTAATCTAAACAAAACCGAAAGTATAAGCGATGCCATAAGGATTGTATATATGGAGGAATAGGGGGAATTTCGTGACCCCTTGGAGGAGGGGTCCGAAACCAACCCTAACTCTGTTTCCCCACACATACAGGCTCTACAAAAAGCCTATACTGAAGTATTTCGAAATTACATGGGCCTAGCCAGATAATAAGGTGACGGGACGCCTATAATAGCCTCTGGATGAAATTTATGAAGTAGCATCTAGTATATTTCGTCCAAGCCTTCATGCACTCATTATGGTGGCTTCAAAGTCCTGAAATCATCATTTGAAACTCTGTTCTTGGTCCTCTTCCGCATGCCATCATCTCCATGCTTGTTCTTACTCCAATGTTCATCCTTCTTGTCCAAGCTAGGCCCTTCATTTGTAAGCAAAACAAATGTATCCAATTTAGGCAGCATCATATTCTCATGAACATTAGAATTGTTACCAAGAAACAAAAGTACCTGGTAATTTAATTGGCATGGACGAGCTCTAGTAAAGTGTCCAGTATATGTAGCTGGAGGTATCATGGGTGTAACTGTAGTATTCATGTCCTCATCAATGACTTTATTAGGTGGCATTGTTTGCATTCTTACAATAATCCAAACAAATGAACTTATGAGTACATGCAGGATTTGCTGATGTCGCAATATTTCAATCAGACAACCAACAATAAGTAAGATGATGTAACAACATTCATGTGTACAAAATAGAATAATGCGAGATAGATATTTAGATAGATAATATTTAGGAGTCAATAGAGGATATTGATTTTGGAACCAATGAGGTTTTAGAAACTACTATCATTATTGTCTATATTTTTTAGTACATAGAGAGGCTAACTTCAAGGGTCCAACTCTCCATGGGAAGCATTTGCTTGCGCACGTCGAAAATTTGTTTTCAAATGTCAAAAATATGAAAATTTTAGAAATGCACATATTCATGTCCAAATGTTATATGAAATATTTTTAGGGATGCAATTTTTTAGAGGGGATGCCCAATAATTTGGCCATGTGAAAAAAATGAGTGCCATGAACATTAATAGACCACCAATTATTTTCATTTTATTGCCAATGGAACACAATTCATTTTACATGAAAATTATCAAGCACACTTTTAAAAATTATCGATGTTTATTTGAATTTATTGTTAATCGCATCCCATAATAAATTTTTGTATTGTTCATTAACCACTCTATGTTTATTTCTTTATCTAACTTTTATTTTGAGTTGGGTTGATGGCAGCAGGAACCAAAGGACATTTAGGCCCAAGAAGAATGCACCATCTGGTAATAAGGTAGTGGTATTCTCCATCATTACAAATATTTTAATTTCATAATTGCATAATTCCATCGTGTGGCCATAAGAGAAAACAAAGGAGTCAACAACTCAAAATATTATTTTGAAAATGAATTGCTTTGTCAAAAATTATAATTATAACAGGGTTATACATGAGAATATGATGTGAAAATATCTGAAACATCATTCAAATAGCTTAACATCATTTCTTTCAACTGAGTTTGAGGCTACACATTCATAGTTTGGTCTTTTGCTGCCTCTATCCTTCAATCTAAGCTCTTGAGAGTTGTCTCTATACACTACATATGTCGCCTCTTATCTTGGAGTCTGCTTCTATCTACTAAATTAATGAGCTGACCCACATGTCATATTATTTGCTTACTAATTCCCTATGATGATGCATTATTGACCACAAAAATTACCTATTTTATTTGTTATGGGTAGACCTTAGAGGCTTGGGTTTAGGGCTTTCACATTGCATGGTTTTGTATAGGTAGTTGGTGGGTCCTAGCTTTAGGGACAGGGTTGCCTCTAAGTATTGCTGATGCTTAGCATATCCCATCTTTTTCATTATTTGGTTAAGCAGGGCGTACAGTTGAAGAAACACATTGATGCGACATTAGGAAATGGTAATTTGAGAGATGCTGTACGGTTGCCTCCTGGAGAGGATCTCAATGAATGGCTAGCTGTTAATAGTAAGTTTTTGATTGCAACATCTTTGTAAGAAAACTGAGTTTTCCGTATTACTAAAAATCATCTTCTTTTTCACAGCTGTTGATTTCTTCAATCAGGTGAACATACTATATGGCACTCTAATGGAGTTCTGCACGCCTTCCACATGCCCAACGATGACTGCCGGATCGAAGTAAGATGCTTGCCTTCTTGGGAACATTCATGTATATATCATTTTAGATCTATATGTTGATTTATTATACCAAGGTAACTTTGATTAGCAAAACATAAGCATTTCAGGTTTGAGTATAGATGGGCCGACGGAGTGCAGATCAAGAAACCTATTGAGGTTTCGGCACCAAAATATGTGGAGTATTTGATGGACTGGATTGAGGTCCAGCTTGATGATGAGTCCATATTCCCTCAAAAACTTGGTAGTTATAACTTATAAGATACTGCCTAGTTTAGAGCCTACATTAACCATGTCAGTCTGGTGTTAGGACTTGGAGGGGTGCATTTTGTCAATTGATTGAATTGAACTATTTGTGCAGGAACACCTTTCCCACAAAATTTTCGAGATGTTGTGAAGACAATATTCAAGCGCCTTTTTCGTGTTTACGCTCATATTTACCACACTCATTTTCAGAAAATTGTGAGCCTCAAGGAAGAAGCCCATCTTAACACATGCTTCAAGCATTTTACATTGTTCACCTGCGTAAGTTGCATCGTGATCTGCCTACTAGCCCATTCTACACGACCATATTGGAATGCACCATCATATGATGCATTTTGTTCAATATTTGTTGTTGACCCTTTTTCTAACGTCTGGATTTTTGAATTGTACGTAGATGTAAGCATATCCCTATTAAATCTAGTTTGTTGTGTTTGGACCAATTCCATGTGATAGAGAATGTTCAACACATGATTTTCTTTCCCGCCAATGAAAAATAAATGGGGTACTTGTTAATGCTAGTTCCTAATTTTGTTCCTTCTGTAGGAGTTCAAATTGATCGACAAGGCTGAACTTGCACCACTTATTGATCTTATTGAATCGATCGTGACCGTTTGCTAAGATGTCAACAAGAAGAGCAGAACAATTTGCCTTGTTTATTTGGCCACTTTCGAGGGTAGAATGAGTTGTGCATGAGAGTGAGACCGAGGCAAAATGGGCCAAAGAAAACATATTTTGCACTTATTGTTTTTCTATCATCTACATGAGTTTGGGTAACATGGTCGTACTTATCTTATGAACCCTGGTCCAACCAGTTAGAGGTCACATTATCTACTATGTTGTGGAACAATGCTATTCCTTTTTAACTATGACCTTGTGTAACCTAATTAGAGATAATAACTAATTTCTTGACTCAAAAGTAAAAAATCCTAGATGAATGTACATGGGCATAAAAAGGTGTTTCCTTTTATAGCAGAATATTGTATTTTATCTCAAGTACTCCCTCTGTCCGGGTTTATTAGGCCCATCTTATTTTGGGCTAAGGTATGACGTAAAAATTTAACTAAATAAATATAAAATAATGTCACAAAAATTATACTATCGGAAAGCTCTCTCAAATACAAATCCAATAGTATAATTTTTATAGCATATACTTTAGATTTTAGTAGTCTATAGATGGTCGAAGTCTAGCCCAAAATACGAAGGGGCCTAAAACACCCAGATGGAGGTAGTAGTAGCTTCCACTGATCAAAGATATTTCTTGTAGTATTTTTATTAAGGGGTCTAAATTCATGAAAGAAGCGATAAACTCCAATATTCACTAGGCAAGCTGATATGCTTGAGAACAGTGTCCATCAGCACTGTGGATGTTTGGCTATGGTTAGGCCGCTTGTAGAGTTCGACCAGACAGGTGATGCACATGGGTTTCCCATTTATTTCCTAGAGGAGTAGGTTTGATGTGTTGTGGTACCACTAATTTCTAGGAATGGGCATAAAACTGACAAACTGAATACCGAAACCAAAACACTGATTTTTGTTTTTTATGCTTGTACAATTAAATTTGGTTTTTGCATTTGATAACCGAATTCAATTAGGTTGGCTGGGTATTAAATCGTATAATTAAACAACACAACAAAGTGTTCCTCTCGCGTTTCATCACACAACAACCACGCCTGACCGCATGCGCATGCCTAACCATACAACTAAAAATTACATGGCAGCCGCTCCTAACCATACAACATAAAGTCCAATGTGAGCCTCTGGACCGCATGCATGCCCAGTCAAGCTAGCCATACAACATACAGACTACAGCAGCCCGATGCCTTCTTTGTCCAACGTGGGAGCAAGGCTTGCTTTGTCCCACGTAGTTAGTGCCTCGTGTTGGATAAATTTAAAACAAGATAGAGCCTGGGAGCAACTTACTAAGGGGTACCCATTGTAGGAGTCCCTCAAGGTTCACATTTGGTTGGCTGAGAGCATGTCATTTGGTGCTCTCCCAGTCGCCACAACATGTCGCGTGTTGGGCACTTCCTTGGGACTTTTTACATGTTTTCGGGGTATTGAGGGGGTTTTCTGTTTTTTCTCAACTTTTCGGTTTTCGCAAAGATTTCCCTAGGTTTTGTGGAGGCAATTGTTTGCTTCCGCGAGAGGCATAGTTGTGCATCCCCAAAAGAAAAAATATCATTTTTTCCTTCCACAAGAGGCACAGGTTTGTTTCTTGTGGGGCACATATTTGCTTCTGTGAGAGGCACAACTGTGCCTCTTGGAAGGAGAAAAAATGTGTTTTTTTTGCTTCCATGAGAGGCATAGTGATGCAGAGCATCGCATGGTCATCCCCATGGACATTCCATCACTAACCGCAAACACGAAGCGGACCAATGACAAGAGCGCACACACGTGCCATTGGTAACCCATAAGAATAGGTGGTCACAACAGTTTTCGAGGGTAGAGTATTCAACCCAAATTTATTGATTCGACACAAGGGGAGCAAGAATACTTCCAAGTATTAGTAGTTAAGTTGCCAATACAACCACACCTGGATATAAATATCTGTGGCAGTGTGATCGATAACACAATAGTATGGTAATTTGATAGTAGTAGTAACGATAGCAATGGTAACAGTAACAGAAGTAGCAATAGTTTGTAGTAGTTAGTAGTAACAGTAGCAATAGTATTAGTGACTTAGCAAGAACAATATGTGAAAAGCTAAAAGGCATTGTGATAGAGGCAGAGGTGTCCCGTATTTCGATGAGATGATGGATATCGCTTTGGTGGAAGTCGACTTTGACGATCCGACTACGAACGTGCGAGGACGTCGCGCCTTAGCAATCGCTAAACCAACTTCGAGAGGTTATTGACCACGCAGGAGCACGATCAACCTGACCACGAGGGTCTGTTTCCTGCGAGCAAACGAAGAACAAGCAAGAAACTAAGATTGCAATCTGGATATTGCGAATATAAGATGAAAGCTTTATTGATCAAGGTGGGGTTCTGTGACGCCTTTGTCTGGTCGTTGAACACAAACGAAGTACGCGAAGTTGCAGCTATGGCGAACTTTTAATCTAAACAAAACCCAAAGTCTAAACGATGCCCTAAGGGCTGTATATATGGAGGAAGAGGGGGGGAATTTCGTGGCCCTTGGTGGAGGGGTCCGAAATCAACCCTATCTCTTGTTTCCCCACACATACGGACTCTAAAAATAGCCTATACTTATGTATTTCGAAATTACATGGGCCTGGCCCAATAATAAGGTGACGCAGCACCTAAAATAGCCTCGGGACGAAATTTATGAAGTGGCGTCTTGTATATTTCGTCCAAGGCTTCATGCACCCATTAAGGTGGCTTCAAAGTCCTGAAATCATCACTTGTAACTCCGTTCTTGTTTCCCTTGCGCATGCCATCATCTCCATGCTTGTTCTTGCTCCAATGTTCATCCTTCTCCAAGCTAGGCCCTTCATTTGTAAGCAAAACAAATGTATCTAATTTAGGCAGCATCATATTCTCATGAACATTAGAATCATTACCAAGAAACGAAAGTACCTGGTAATTTAGTTGGCGTGCACGAGCTCTAGTAATTGGTCCAGTATGTATAGCAGCAGGGGCTGTGGGTGTAACAATTGTATTGATGTCCTCATCATCCTCCCCTTCTTGAAATGAAGTCGTCCTCGACGGAAGTTCATCTTCCTCACCCAAATAAGGCTTCAAATCTGCAATGTTAAAAGTGGGACTAACCCCAAAATCTGCAGGCAGCTCAAGTTTATATGCATTATCATTTATTTTCTCTAACACCTTAAAGGGACCATCAGCACGTGGCATTAGCTTTGATTTGCGCAAATCAGGAAATCTATCCTTACGCAAATGTAACCAAACAAGATCTCCAGGTGCAAACACAACATGTTTTCTACCCTTATCTCCAGCAAGTTTATATTTAGCATTCATACGCTCAATGTTTTCCTTAGTTAACTCATGCATTTTTAAAATTAATTCAGCATGTTGTTTAGCATCAAAATTAACCTTCTCCTAAGATGGAAGAGGCAACAAATCAATAGGTGCACGAGGTAGGAAACCATACACAACTTCAAAAGGGCACATCTTAGTAGTAGAATGCAATGAACGATTATAAGCAAATTCAATATGAGGCAAGCATTCCTCCCACATTTTCTTATTATTCTTCAAAACAGCCCTAAGCATAGTAGACAACGTTCTATTGACTACTTCAGTTTGTCCATCAGTTTGGGGGTGACAAGTAGTACTAAAAAGCAGTTTAGTCCCCAACTTAGCCCATAAACATCTCCAAAAGTGGCTAAGAAATTTAGTATCACGATCTGAAACAATAGTATTTGGCACACCATGCAAGCGAATAATTTCACGAAAGAACAAATCAGCAACATTAACAGCATCATCGCTTTTATGACATGGTATAAAGTGTGCCATTTTCGAGAATCTATCAACGTGAATTGCTTCAAAAATTGCAGCGTTTAAGACAAGGGAAAAATTCTGTAGAAGAATATTATCAGGAATTACAAACTGGCATGATTAGATGTGGTATTGTTGAGGAGAATGAAGCTATGCTTGCACGTTTTCTGGGTGGATTAAATAGAGAGATTCAGACCATTCTAGACTATAAGGAGTATACTAATATCACTCGTTTATTCCATCTTGCTTGTAAAGCTGAACGTGAAGTGCAGGATCGACAAGCATTGGCGCGAACTAACTTTTCTGCAGGCCGACCTTCATCATGGACACCGCGTGCATCTTCTACTTCAACTGCACCAGCACCTCAATCAGGTGTCTCCTCCAGTCGTGATACAAGAAAACAGGCACAACCACCATTATCTGCCAAGAGCGCACCTGCTGGGCCTGCACAGAGTTCTTCTTCTTCCATGGCATCAACAGGGCACACAAGTGATATTATTTGTCGTCGTTGTAAGGGAGGAGGTCATTATGCAAGAGAATGCAAATCTCCGCGTGTGATGATTGCTACCGCGGATGGTGGATATGAGTCCGCTAGTGACTATGATGAGGAGACTTTGGCTCTTATTACACGTGAAGAACATGGTGGAGATGATTCTGATCATGAGACGCAATACATGGCTCCTGAAGACGCTGACAGGTATGAATGTTTAGTTGCTCAACGTGTTTTGAGTGTGCAGGTCACACAAGCTGAGCAAAATCAGAGGCACAATTTGTTCCATACCAAGGGAGTTGTGAAAGAACGTTCTGTGCGCGTCATCATAGATGGAGGGAGCTGCAACAACTTGGCTAGCATGGAGATGGTGGAGAAGCTTTCTCTCACCACAAGACCACATCCACATCCTTACTACATCCAATGGTTCAACAACAGCGGCAAGGTTAAGGTAACACGTACTGTTCGTGTGCATTTTATTATCTCTACATATGCTGATTATGTTGATTGTGATGTGGTACCTATGCAAGCATGTTCCTTATTACTTGGTAGACCATGGCAATTTGATAAAAATTCTGTACACCATGGTAGAAACAATCACTATACTCTTGTTCATAGGGATAAAAATATTACTTTGCTTCCTATGACTCCTGATTCCATTTTGAAAGATGATATTAATAGAGCTAATAAAGCAAAACAGGAGACGAATAAGAGT